TACACCTTCTATTGGAGAATATAGCTAAATACTACCCACCACTCACAATGCTGATCAATTTGAATTTCTGGTGTTAACAATGTTAACGTAAAATAATAAAAATGTGAAGTTTGTTTCTTAAGTCTTTCGTTTTGTTTGTGATTCGTTGTTAGTCTCTATCCAACTACAACAAACATTGTTAGTATATTTTGAATACAAAGCTTCTTGGCATACTGCTTAGGTGCTATTTGCCAATCCGCAATACACAATATGTGACATCTGTGTTTTGTAATTGTTTTGCATATGGTTCCTTTTGAGAATAAGCATAGAATCACTTTCTGAGTCGATTTATGCATGTCCGTCCGTCCGTCTGTCCATGTTAAATTGTAAACAAAGTACAGGTCGCATTTATGATCCGAATTGGATGAAATTTGGCACAGCTCATTTGTTTGGCGCAGGGACGAACCCTATTGAAATTGAGAAAAATCGGTTCAGATTTAGATAGAGCTCCCATATATATATATATATATATATTCGTCCGATTTAAGGTAAATTGTGTACAAAAGTCTCTATATATCTTTCGATTTGCACGAAATTTGGCACAGCGTAATGAATAAGCTCTAGAATGATGTCTGCCAAATTTCATGTAAATAGGTTCAGTTTTAGATATAGCTCCCATATATATCTTCATCCGATTTAACGTAAATTGTGTACAAAAGTCTCTATATATCTTTCGATATGCACGAAATTTGGCACAGCGTAAAGGATGGGGTCTAGAATGATGTCTGCCAAATTTCGTGTAAATCGGTTCAGATTTAGATATAGTTCCCATATATATCTTCGTCCGATTTAACGTAAATTGTGTACCAAAGTCCCTATATATCTTTCGATTTGCACGAAATTTGGCACAGCGTCATGAATAAGGTCTAGAATGATGTGTGCAAAGTTTCGTGACAATCGGTTCAGATTTAGATATAGCTCCATATATATTTTCATCCGATATAGGCACCAAAGTCCCTACATATCTTTCGAGTTGCACGAAATTTGGCATAGCGTACTGAATTGCGTCTGTAATAATGTGTGCTAAGTTTCATGAAAATCGGTTTAGATTTAGATATAGCTCTCATATATAGTTTCGCCCGATTTTAGGTAATTGGTGCACCAAAGTCCCTGGAAATCTTTTCATTTGCACGAATTTTCCCATAGCGTACTGAATTAAGTCTAGCATGATGTGGCAAAGTTTCGTGAAAATCGGTTCAGATTTATATATAGCTCCCATGTATATTTTCCTATGGTGCACCAAAGTCTCTGAAAATCATTCGATTTACACGAAATTTGTCATAGCGTACTGAATTAAGTCTAGAATGATGTGTGCAAAGTTTCGTGACAATCGGTTCATATTTAGATATAGCTCCCATATATATGTTCATCCGATTTAAGGTAATTGGTGCACCAAAGTCTCTGAAAATCATTCGATTCGCCCGAAATTTGTCATAGCGTACTGAATTAGGTCTAGAATGATGTTGCTAAGCTTCGTGAAAAGATCCATAGCTAGGCCGATTGACACAACGTACTAAAGTAATATATATTAGTCTCTGGCAATTTTCCCTGAAATCTGGCAATTTTCCCTGATATAGATATATAATAAGGGGCGTACTCCCCATTTTGTTGGCTTCTAGTTTTACTTTGACACGAAGACCGTGAAATGAGTGGCTTAATCGCAAATCGATAGAGAACATAAAAAAACTGGTTCGCCTCAACCTGTTTTTACACATTTTTTTACATTAAAGTAGACACAGCTTCCACCAAAATAAAGTTTGGAGGTCAATATCATGAACTGTTTGCAACGACAGATCAATTAACCCAAAACTATTCACTTTTTTTCATACACTTAAGTAGTTCCCGAGTTATAAATGGGTGAACCTCCGCTTCAGCTATGTTAAAAAATTGGCAATATTGCCCATATATATATTCGTCCGATTTAAGGTAAATTGTGTACAAAAGTCTCTATATATCTTTCGATTTGCACGAAATTTGGCACAGCGTAATGAACAAGCTCTAGAATGATGTCTGCCAAATTTCATGTAAATAGGTTCAGTTTTAGATATAGCTCCCATATATATCTTCATCCGATTTAACGTAAATTGTGTACCAAAGTCCCTATATATCTTTCGATTTGCACGAAATTTGGCACAGCGTAAAGGATGGGGTCTAGAATGATGTCTGCCAAATTTCGTGTAAATCGGTTCAGATTTAGATATAGTTCCCATATATATCTTCGTCCGATTTAACGTAAATTGTGTACCAAAGTCCCTATATATCTTTCGATTTGCACGAAATTTGGCACAGCGCAATGAATAAGGTCTAGAATGATGTGTGCAAAGTTTCGTGACAATCGTTTCAGATTTAGATATAGCTCCATATATATTTTCATCCGATTTAAGGTAATTGGTGCACCAAAGACCTTATATATCTTTCGATTTGCACGAAATTTGGCATAGCGTACTGAATTGCGTCTGTAATAATGTGTGCTAAGTTTCATGAAAATCGGTTTAGATTTAGATATAGCTCCCATATATAGTTTCGCCCGATTTTAGGTAATTGGTGCACCAAAGTCCCTGGAAATCTTTTCATTTGCACGAATTTTCCCATAGCGTACTGAATTAAGTCTAGAATGATGTGGCAAAGTTTCGTGAAAATCGGTTCAGATTTATATATAGCTCCCAAATATATTTTCCTATGGTGCACCAAAGTATCTGAAAATCATTCGATTTACACGAAATTTGTCATAGCGTACTGAATTAAGTCTAGAATGATGTGTGCAAAGTTTCGTGACAATCGGTTCATATTTAGATATAGCTCCCATATATATGATCATCCGATTTAAGGTAATTGGTGCAATAAAGTCTCTGAAAATCATTCGATTCGCCCGAAATTTGTCATAGCGTACTGAATTAGGTCTAGAATGATGTTGCTAAGCTTCGTGAAAAGATCCATAGCTAGGCCGATTGACACAACGTACTGAAGTAATATATATTAGTCTCTGGCAATTTTCCCTGAAATCTGGCAATTTTCCCTGATATAGATATATAATAAAAACAAAGTGGTGAAGGGTATCATATAGTCGGCCCCGTCCGACTTTACTGCTTCCTTTACTGGTTTTTTTATTAAAAACTTTCTTATTGCTCTTAAATAACCACCCTTTATTTAGTTTCCTTCTGAATGTTACATACACACAAATGGCATAATTACACGGTACCGCAGTATGGTGTAGGGCAGAAGAAAATCTGATTAATTCGTTTAGTATATAATATTTAATGTGTAACAAGGACTGTTACTTTTTCACACCCTTGACATCATTCCTTTTGGTTTCACGTAAAATTTAGTAGATATCTTCATCAGCTATCTAAATACGGCAGTGTGGATGTGCGATTTATGAATGTTCCATTTTGTTCAACCGTTTTTATTTATTTGTAACGATTATATACCATTTTTATTTTTTCCATGAATTATGTGTAAATGAACTATACTTGAGCGAATAAAAAGTGTATAAATAACGTGTATAAAAATAATATACCTCAATGATATAGTCAAGTCATTCGGAAAATGCGCCTAGGACCATAAAAATACTTCAATCAATTTTTTACATAGCCCACGTAAAAATATGGATCTGCCTTCAACATGCGTTGTAAAAAAAGTTTTTTACTTCACAATAATCCGTAACTGCAAATTCTAGCCACTTCGATGAAAAAAAAAGAAAAAAAATACACTGGGATTATATCAACACGTGAACCGATGTAGCTTTATTCAAAATCAAACATCCACAATGTATGCACAACATTTCAAAGCTCTATATTATTTATGGTCGATTTAAACCCAAGTTCGAGCAGATATGATACTGATTGACTATAACAGTTTCCTACTTATTTTGTTACTTTTAATAAAATATGTTCACTTATTTTATTTACAGATGGTTTAAAGAGGAAAATGAGCAGCTGCTGCCCTTGCAACTAAGTGATCGAATATCGATTGTGTCGGCGGGACTTTTAAAGATAAGTAAGGTATGTATCGAGTTAATCGGGCATTTATTAGCAAAATGTCAATCGGTAAAAATTAGTTTCTTCGATGTACTATTTCTAAAAATTCTGACGAAATTATGTAGGGGAGCGGTATAAACATTTTAAAATATTTTAAGTACGGAATCAAAAACGTAGAAAATGAGGACAGAATAATGTGAGTCAATTTATTTAAATCGTTTCTAATTTCTATACAGTTTCCCTACAAAATTTCATCAGAGTATGGATAACCCCAAATATTCCGTATTTTGGGAATTTGTTTACCTATTTCAACCAAACTAGCTGTAATGTTGTACTTTGATTTCCCATTGGGGAGAAAATCTCCTTAGCAAAAATGTCGTTATGGGCCCATTTTTTAGAAAAGACCCAATTTATCGATACTCCCCATTATTCGATCTTTGAGGAGCATGGAAACGTTTTTCAATCTAATTGACTACATTTTGATGCTTGGGGCTTTAAAGGAGTATCAATATTGTACAATTTTTTACGCTTTTAACCGAATTGGCTGTAATATGGTATTTTGAATTTACATTAGGTAGGAAATCTTCATACCAAACTAGCTGTAATGTTGTACTTTGATTTCCCATTGGAGAGAAAATCTCCTTAACAAAAATGTCGTTATGGGCCCATTTTTTAGAAAAGACCCAATTTATTGATACTCCCCATTATTCGATCTTTGAGGAGCATGGAAACGTTTTTCAATCTAATTGACTACATTTTGATGCTTGGGGCTTTAAAGGAGTACCAATATTGTACAATTTTTTACGCTTTTAACCGAATTGGCTGTAATATGGTATTTTGAATTTACATTAGGTAGGAAATCTTCATACAAAACAAAAAACAGTAAGGAAAGCAGTAAAGTCGGACTTGGCCGACTATATAATATATATACTAAGAGACGTCGCGTGTTTGTTATATACCTATATCTGAACCGATTTCAGGGAAACTTGCCAGAGACTAATTTACATTACTTTAGTACGTTGTGTCAATCGGTCTAGCTATGGATCTTTTCACGAAACTTTGCACACATCATTCTATATTTAATTTAGTAGGTTGTGCCAAATTTCGTGCAAATCGAAAGATATATAGGGACTTTGGTACACAATTAACTTTTAATCGGACGAAGATATATATAGGAGCTATATCTAAATCTGAACCGATTTCGTGCAAATCGAAAGATATATAGGTACTTTGGTACACCATTTACCCTGAATCGGAGAAAATATATCAAAATCTTAACCGATTTTTACGAAATTTAGCACGCATCATCCTATACGTTATTCATTACGCTGTGCCAAATTTCGTGCAAACCGAATGATATATAGAGACTTTAGTGGACTACTTACCCAAAATCGGCCGAAACTATATATGGGAGCTATATCTAAATCTGAACCGATTTTCACGAAACTTTGCCCACATCATTCTAGGCTTAGTCCAGTGTGCTGTGACAAATTTCGTGCAAAACGAAAGATATATAGAGGCTTTGGTGCACCATTTACATTAAATCGGACAAGAATATATGTATGGGAGCTATATCAAAATCTGAACCGATTTTTACGAAACTTAGCACACATCATTCTAGACCTAATTTAGTACGCTATGGCAAATTTCGTGCAAATCGAAAGATATATAGAGCCTTTGGTGCACCATTTACATTGAATCGGACGAAAATATATATGGGGGCTATATCAAAATCTGAACGGCTTTTTACGAAACTTTGCCCAAATCATTCTAGGCCTAATTCAGTGTGCTGTGCCAAATTTCGTGCAAATCGAAAGATATATAAAGCCTTTGGTCACCATTTACATTGAATCGGATGAAAATATATATGGGCGCTATATCAAAATCTGAACGGCTTTTTACGAAACTTTGCACACATCATTCTAGGCTCAATTAAGTGTGATGTGCCAAATTTCGTTTAAATCGAAGGATATACACCAAGAATGATACACCATTTACCTTAAATCGGACGAAAATATATATGGGAGCTATATCTAAATCTGAACCGATTTTTCCCAATTTCAACAGGGTTCGTCCTTGGGCCAAACAAATGAGCTGTGCCAAATTTCATTCAATTCGGATCATAAATGTGACCTGTACTTTGTTTACAATTTTACATGGACAGACGGACATGCATAAATCGACTCAGAAAGTGATTCTATGCATATAAGGAACCATGGGTCTATCTCTATTATTTTTGCCTGTTACAAACATATGCACAAAGACATAATACCCTGTACCACAGGGTGATCAAGGGTATAAATACAGGTGTATGAAATGTACACCTCATGGTGAAAGGTATAAAAAGTTCGGCCCTATCGAAAGTTTTTAGGGAGATTGTCTACCTCATGAAAATCTAAATAGTATAATTACATCGATTTCTGAGGAAAATTCTGTCTGTGAACGATTCGTTCCATTTTGCCAAATCAAGTGAAAATTGCACCAAATTTGGGTCATTGGTGCATTCTTTAGATGCAATTAGAACCTAGTTTTTTTTAATTGTTTGTCCATCTTATTTCCATGTATCTGAAACCACAGTGCGATATAATAATAACTAATAACATTATTTACCTATAAGAAACCTGCATTTCATTAACATATTGAATATTTTTTTGTTTATTTATTTTTCACTTTCTCAAAATGAAATACCGTGAACAGGCACGTCTTGATGATACCGGCAAATATTTGTGTTGGGTAAACAATACCGCTGGAGAAGAAACAATACAAGTTTCGTTAACCGTTACAGGTAAGTTGGAGATGCTTTTGCGTCCGAAAAAAAAATTCGCTTCGTGTTTTTCCTGGTTACCTTTTATTTGCTCATTTGTACAATCGACATTAACATGCCATTGGTAGGGGTATTAATTTAATGTAAGTATCTCAAGCCTATCTTTATGTATGACCATGGTCCTTCATTAGAAACAACTTAGTCGGAGTGGAAAACACCGAGAACGGCTTTGCCACATGCCAAATGTATGTCATTAAGCTAACGACGAGAAAGATGGTTATTTGCATAATTTAATTAAATTTTCATTAAGTGAATACTAGCAAATGAACAAAATGTACATACATATATATATTTTTGTGTCCTTGAAAGAAAACAAATCAATATTGCCAAGTGATAGTCAACACTACACACAGTCAACACCGGTACACGAAAGTATTTTTACATCTGGTTTCCTTGAAAATTATTCTCATTTTGTTAATGAAAAACGGTGGTGGAAATAAAATAAAACCAGTGAGCGGAGCAGTATAGTCGGACGGGGCCGACCATACGATACCCTACACAACTACCACTGATCTCAAATTTTCTACGGATGTGTATTCCGAGCCTGGGCAATATTTCGTGATATTTGCACACTCTTGCCCGATTAGAGGTAAACAGCACCTCTTCCTCACACTGACATATTTTCCGAATATTACGAGTATTCAGTACAGTTATTGTCCAGATTCCCTTCACCGTGGGTTGTGTTGTTGTAGATCAACTCGAAAATAACACCAAAAATTAAGTTTTCGGCCCACTTCATTCCTAAATTAATATCTGATCATCACTGAAAATTATAGGCGTTGTCCTTGACCATAAATGGAACCTCATGAAACATTTCAAAGCGATCAGCGCTATGTTCGGCTCCCTAGAGTAATAATGGGTTACTAAATAACATACAAATACGGAGATACCTGTAAATATTTAGGTGTAACTCCCACATCAGAGCACATGCAACAACATAATTGGTCTTAATTTAAAGGTCATCCACTCCTCTTGGATATAATATCAACTTTTCGGGTCTATGTCCTTCAGGGGTAAATATATACGCTATAGAATACAAATTTTGACATTTTTCACAAAAGTCAGGGTCCATTTGACCCGCTAAATATTGACCGAAATATTGATCAAAGCAGGTATGCTTATTCTTTGGCCCGACCCCCTTCTCCATGCAAAATTTCACGATGTTTGGGCCATTATTGCGGCCTGTGGAGCGACCAGAAAAACCGACAAAAATTTAGTATTTGGTCCATTTCATCCCCTAAATATTAACCGATCTTTCCCAAAAACAATAGGGCCAGAACCCATCCTACATGCAAAATTTCGTGAAGATTGGTCCATAATTGTGGCCTGTATCGTGTTTACAAATTATAATGGACAGACGGACGGACGGACGGACGGACACACATGTCTAGATCGACTCAGCTAGTCGAGATATGACGATCGGTATACTTAAAGGTGGGTCTAGGACCGATATTTCGGGGCGTTACAAACTTTTGGGGCTGCACAAAGCTATAATACCCTGACAACATAGTTGTGTAGGGTATAAAAACTGTATTTTTTGGTTATACATTATAAACACTTAAATGGTAAATGGACAAAGGAAAAACAAAATAAGGGAACCCCCCAATCTCGATTTTAATTTTTCAAGATTTTCAATGGGCTGGTAACTGAATACCAATGCTTGTTAAGGTTTGTAACTTTGCACATATATATTTGAAGATTTAAAAAGAAAGACAAATAATTTACAAAAAATTGTTGTTGTTGTTTTTAGAAAGAGTACATGTCTGGCTCTCGTATGAACTAGGATTATTGACTTCGCTCAAAAATTAACAAAATAGCGGACCTTTGAAAAAATATTTTTGGAAAATCGCCGATTTTTGACCAAAAACCAAGTTAAAAAATAAGGAAGATTTTCACCGATTGGCTTTATCCTAGTTTATACGATAGCTATACACTCACAGAGAAACGTGTAAAAATTTGGAATCGATTGGGGTATTAGCCCTTGAGTTATCGTGCCCGTCATTTGTTTAGAGAAAAACGCGTTTAAAGTTTGAGAAGCCCTTCAGCCGTCGCTTGATGCTGACACAATGAATCGGCTATATCTTCAAGAGGTCTTAAGATTTTCACTAGAAATTTTGTGGGGACATTCTTGAATTAGTGTAGATTCAAACCAGTGAGCGGAGCAGTATAGTCGGACGGGCCGACCATATGATACCCTACACAACTTCCACGAAAAACTAACTTTCTGTGGATCTATATTCTGAGCTTGGGCAATATTTCGCGATATTTGAACCATCTGGACCAACTAGAGACCGACAATTATTACTAATGTTCAGTACAGCCTTTCTCATTACTTGTCCAGATTCCCTTCCCTTGTGTTGTGATCTTCTTATTCCCATTGGAGCCTATAGATCAAAAACACAAAAAATTATGTTTTCGGTCCACTTTATCACAACATAATTATCTGATCGTAACCGAAAATTGTAGGCGTTATCCTTGACCATAACTGGAATTTCATGGTGGTGTGGTAAAGGGTAACTAAATAATATCTGAATACATAAGCACCTGTAAATATTTAAGTGTAACTCCCACATCTGAGTACATACGACCATATAATTGGCATCGATTTAAAGGTCAACCACTACCCTTGGATATACCAAAAACGTTTCGGGTCGATGTTTGGGTTATAATTGCGGCCTCCTCAGCGACCAGAAAAACATATAAAAATTAAGTATTTGGTCCATTTCATCCTCTAGATATTAACCGATCTTTACCAAAAACAATAGGGGTCTTCATTGGCCAGAACCCATCCTACATGCAAAATTTCGTGAAGATTGGTCCATACCAGTGGCCTGTATCATGTTTACAAAATATAATGGACAGACGGACGGACACACATGTCTAGATCGATTCAGCTAGTCGAGATGTGACGATGGGTATACTTAAGGGTAGGTCTAGGACCAATATTTCGCGGCATTACAAACTCTTGGGGCTGCACAAAGCTATAATACCCTGACAACATAGTTGTGTAGGGTATAATTAAGTCAACAAAATTTTTGACCTTGAGAAATGGGGGGGGGGGGTCCACATGAAACGGCTGAATGTGAATTTGGGGTGACGGTCACTCTGGGTCCAAAGGTGTGAGATAAGGCTGGATTTTTGAAAATTTGTTCCAGGACGACACGAAAAGTATTAAATGTGCTACCATTTGTATTTGGTGAACCGTTAGAGCTAGAACTCTTAAATTAGAAATTAGGGTCACTGATAGAGTGTAGAATATATGTACCAAAGTGATTTTTGGAAATTCGAACAATAAGTACTAAACTGTACTAAATTTGGTACAATTTCGTAGCATGTGCGCGGATATAGCTAAAAACTTGACATTTGGAATACGAATTTAGGTTGAGAAGTAGGGTCGATATAAGGCCGTGGTTTTTACAGCGTGTACTCATGTATACGAACCGTACTATTATATATATATATATATATATATATATGCTGGAAACTTGCAATTTGGAGTTAGGGTCATAACTGGGGTGTAGGGTTGGAATTTTAGTAAAATACATAACTTGTACTAATGTGCATTAAATGGTACCAAATTTGGATTTGGTTGTACCTATAGAATTGGAATCTTGAAATTTTAATGTTAGGATCACTGTTGTGGTGTAGAATTGGGCTATGTAGGAAGTCATGGCATAATTAATTAAGTTGGAGTTAGAATATTTTTGGTGTGTAGGATTGTGATATATAGATAGTTTTGAAAATTCGTACTTATTATACCCTACACAACTATGTTGTCAGGGTATTGTAGCTTTGTGCAGCCCCAAGAGTTTGTAACGCCGCAAAATATTGGTCCTAGACCCACCTTTAAGTACACCGATCGTCATATCTCGAATAGCTGAGTCGATCTAGACATGTGTGTCCGTCTGTGCATTATAATTTGTAAACACGATACAGGCCACAGTTATGGACCAATCTTCACGAAATTTTGCATGTAGGATGTGTTCTGGCCAATGAAGACCCCTATTGTTTTGGTAAAGATCGGTTAATATTTAGGGGATAAAATGGACCAAAAACTTTAATTTTGTCGGATTTTCTGGTCACTCCAGGGGCCGCAATTATGACCCAAACATCGCGATTTTTTGCATGGAGAAGGGGATTGGGCCAAAGAATACGCATGCCTGTTTTGATAAAGATCTGTCAATATTTAGCGGGTCAAATGGACCTTGACTTTTGTGTGAAAAATTACAAAATTTGTGTTCCCTAGCGTATATATTTACCCCTGAAGGACATAGACCCGAGAAGTTGATAGTATATCCAAGAGGAGCGGTTGACCTTTAAATTGATACCAATTATATTGTCGTATGTTCTCGGATGTAGGAGTTACACTTAAATATTTGCAGGTGTCTACGTATTCAGATATTATATATTAACCCATTACCACACCAGAGGGTCCGCCCTCTGGCTGATCGCTTTGAAATTTCCATGAGGTTTCAGTTATGGCCAGGGACAACGCCTATATGTTCTGTGATGATCAGATAATAATTTTGGGTTGAAGTGAAACGAAAACTTAATTTGTTGTGTTTTCCAGTCGATCTATAGGCCAAAAATATAAGCCGAACATCAAAACACAGCCCACGGGGAATGGAATATGGACAAGTACAGAATATTAGAAATATTCGGAAAATATGTCAGTGTAAGGAAGATGTTCTGTTGACTTCTAATCGGGGAAGAGGGTGCAACTATCACGAAATATTGCCCAGGCACGGAATAAAAATCCGCAGAATGTTAAAGCCACGTGGTAGTTGTGTAGGGTATCGTATGGTCGGCCCCGTCCGACTATACTGCTCCGCTTACTGGTTTGTACTAAATTTGGTTGAATTTTGGATGAACGAACAGAGCTGGAATCTTGAAATTTGGAATTAATATTATTGTAAATGTGTGAGAAGCGATCGAGCTGGAATTCGAAAATTGAAAAATATGATTTCTATTATATTAATTTGAACTAAATTGTACTAAATTTGGTCAAATTAAAATGTCGTTAGATCTATATTATCATGAAACTTCGAATTAGTTTTAGAAATAAGTACTATACGAGTACGAAAGTTAACAAAGGGCACTAAAATTGTTGCGGTCAAAATTGGTGTGTAGTGTAGAGATATGGAGGAAGTTTTGGAAATACACATTATAAGAGAACAAGGAACTAAATGGTACTAACATTTTAATTATGGTCAATATTAGTGTATATGTTAATTAACTGTTCTGGCATATACAGTTTTCGTTTTATGGACAAATTGATAAAAAAAATTGATAATTTTATGAAAAAGCGATGTTCTGTCATATTCAACTATGCCAGTAGTGCTTACATTTTTCAGTTCCGTTTACATACACACGCTTATCCTTCACCTCAATATGGTGTAGGATACAAAAACAGACTACAATTTGTAATATTTTCTACATTTGTTTTCGTTCCTGTTGTACTACTCCTTCCCATTTTTGTTGTTTGTTCTCTTTTGTCTTTCTTGGCAATTGGCAGCACCGCTGACAGCCCATCTACAGCCTCAAGTACAAACGGTAGATGTCGATAAGGATGCACAATTTCAATGCATTGTGACTGGACATCCGGTGCATGATGTTAATTGGTTGCACGATGGTAAACCAATACTACGCGATAACCGAGTCGAGGCAAGTTAATAAGTATAAACATATTGGCATACATGTTTGCATCCGCCCCCTGCATTAAAAAAATAACAGATTATTTTTATTTTAATTTTTGCAGATTCTTTCAGATCCGCCACGTCTCATTATCAAGAAAGTACAAAAAGATGATCCGGGCATGTATCAATGTTTTGTGTCCAATGAATGGGAACAAATACAGTCGACCGCTGAATTACAGTTAGGAGGTGAGTTGATAAAGTTATCAAAAATATAAATACCGGAAATATCGGAATTTGTCTGAGCTCAAAAAGTAAACAAAATTTTAAAAAACGTGGGTCTTCTATAATAGTATCAACGACAACCACAGATTTGGAAAAAAATATAAATTTTTTTCTTTCTTTTTTGCAGATGCCTCACCCGAGCTGCTGTATTGGTTTTCGGAACAGACACTACAACCGGGTCCAACTGTATCATTAAAATGTGTAGCAACTGGAAATCCTTTGCCACAATTTACATGGACTTTGGATGGTTTTCCGGTAAGTGCAGGTGTTTTGTATACCAATTTCTCAAATTAGAATTTATATTATAAATAAAATCCAACGGCAATTTATATCGAAACTCAATTATTGATATATTCAAGTGTACATTTGTTGATCAAATCATATGCCAACGTTCAATCAAATACTGAAAAAATGCCAATCTCTGGGCTATTGTCGTTTCAATACATTTCATTGCGTTTTGTATTTTTTATTTTCAGATACCAGATCATTCGCGATTTCTAGTTGGTCAATATGTTACGATACATGACGATGTCATCAGCCATGTGAATATAACAAATGTCAAGGAAGAGGATGGTGGCGAGTACACCTGTACGGCACAGAATGCCATTGGCAAGTAAGTGAAATAGAAGGATATGTGGAAAAATGAATGAAATAACTGTAGACACTAACATCACATAGAGAATCTGTTTATTAAAGGAGGATTAAAAACAGAAACCTCTTGTGGAAAATAGTTGAAAGTTAACGCTGGGAGTTAGCATTTTCGCATTTTTCAGTAGTTTTTGTAATTTGACTACAAAATGAAATTGACCAAATACTTAATTTTTGCCAGTTTTTCTGGTCCCTCCAGAGGCCGCAATTTGCACACAGTATGATAGACGCAATTCAGTACGCTATGCCAAATTTTGTGCAAATCGAATGATATATAGGGTATTTTGTGCACCAATTACCTTAAATCGGTTGAAAATATATATGGGAGCTATATCTAAATCTGAACCGATTGTCACGAAACTTTCCCCACATCATTCTAGTATCAATTCAGTACGCTATGTCAAATTTCGTGCAAATCGAATGATTTTCAGAGACTTTGGTGCACCATTTACATAAAATCGGACGAAAATATATATGGGAGCTATATCTAAATCTGAACCGATTTTCAGGATACTTAACACACATCATTCTAGACCTAATTAATTACGCTGTGCAAATTTCGTGCACATCGAAAGATATTTAGGGACTTTGGCGCACCATTTACCTTAAATCGGACGAAAATATATATGGTAGCTTTATCTAAATCTAGACCTATTTCCAGGAAACTTAACACACATCATTCTAGACATAATTCATTACGCTATGCCAAATTTCGTGCAAATCGAAAGATATATAGGGGAAAATATATATGGGAGCTATATCTAAATCTGGACCGATTTTTCCCAATTTCAATAGGGTTCGTCCTTGGGCCAAATAAGTGACCTATGTCAAATTTCATCCAATTGGGATCATAAATGCGACCTGTACTTTGTTTAAAATTTAACATGGACAGACAGACGGACGGACGGACATGCCTAAATCGGCTTAAAAAGTGATTCTATGCTTATTCTAAAAAAGAACCATGTGTCTATCTCGTTTCCTTTTGCCTGTTACAAACATATGCACAAAGCCATAATAATATTTATTATTTTCAGTGTGGAATTTCGGTACCCAATAAGAAACCAATGTACCAAATTTCAGCGAATTCGGTTAAAAAAAAAAACGTCCTCTATAACCCCAAAATACCGGTTGGAGGGTACCCTTATATGAGTGCTATGCCTAAATTTGGACCGATATAGCACATCTTCAAACATGCCTGCAAACAAAAGACTCTATGCAAAATTTTGGCGATCTATCTCAATTCGTTTAGAGGCTAAAGTGATTACAACAGACAGACGGAAATGCTTAGATCGTCATATAAATTTAAGCTGATCAAAAATATAGGGTCGGAAATGATTATTTCGATGAGTTACAAACGGAAAAACAAAATGAATATACCCTCCATACTATGGTGGAGGTATAAAAAAATATAATGGCTACAAATCAAGATATGAAGCTAGATCTTAATGTGTAAGAGGGTCGCCAACAAACCAAAATTGTTATGCCATATCTCTGAACTTTGACCCATGGAGAATTTGTGCTTCAGGGGACGAAACGACTGAAGCTAGAATCTTAAATTTTGGGATGAGGGTCACTCTTGGTCCATAGGCGTTAGATAAGGCTGGGTTTTTTGGATATTCGTACTAGAACGGTACGAAAAGTACTAAAATGTACAAAATGTAGTGCCATTTGTATTGGAAGTTAGGGTCACTATGGAGCGTAGGATGGGATATGTGGATTTTGTACTAATATGTACTAAATGGTGGAAATTTGGATTCGGGCGAATCTTGAAATTTGAAGAGAGAATCACTGTTGGTGTGTAGGATGGGGATATGTAGGAAGATGTGTAACTTTATACTAATGTGTTCTAAATGGTACTAAATTTGTTACAATTATATTTGGGTGAAGCGATATGGCTGGAATCCTGAAATTGGGAAATATGTTTTCTATGGGATTTATATTCATGTGTGCTAAATGAATTAGTTTTGTAATGAAATACTACAAGAGTACGAAATGTAATAAATATTACCAAAATTAGTATAGAACTAGTTTTGTGTTGCGATGAGAATTGGTGGGTAGTGTTAATATATAGAGGTTGTTTTGGAAACACGTACCATAATATAACAAAGAAAATACATGGTACTAACATTTTGATTATGGTCAATATTGGTGTGTATGTTGATTAGATCTGCAGTTCTCTGTGAAAACAAAACAAAAAAAATACTTAGACATGTTACGAGCATATGCTAGTTAATTTATATAATTGCATACTACACCTTTGATAATTATTTTTACCCGTTAATAGCTTAATAAACATTATTGCCTATTTGCTAAACACTTAATTAACTAGTCGTATATTTTATTTTTTGTTTGTTTTGTTTTACAGAGTATCCCACAGCGCAAAGGTGAATATCTATGGACTGCCACACATTCGTGAAATGCCAAAAATAACTGGAATATCTGGACATGATTTGATTGTTAAATGTCCTGTGGCTGGTTATCCAATTGATCGAATTCATTGGGAAAGAGGTAAATGTTATACACAAAAAAAAAAAAACTAATAGTTTGGCTCGGAACTAAGGACATGTGTACATTAGGTTGTACCCAAAATAAATAAAACAAGTTTAAACTGTGTTAAGTTCGGCACGGGCCAACTTTGTTTACCCCCCACCATGAGGACGACATTCAAAACATTAAAATTAAATATATATATATATATATATATATACCTTATGGGGTCCCGTGAATATTTCGACGGTAAATTTAAAATACTCTCCACCTTATAGTAGTGGAGCGCATAAAAGTCATAACCCAAATATATAAACCAGTGAGCGGTGCAGTACAGTCGGACGGGACCGACCATATCCTACACAACTACCACGGGACTCTAACTTTCTGCGGATTTTTATTCCGAGCAATATTTCGTAATATTTGCACCCTCTTGCCCGATTAGAGATCAACAGCTCTTCCTTACACTGACATATTTTCCGAATAGTTGTAATATTCGGTACATGTCTTATAATTGTAGCCTATATATCGACTCGAAAAAAACACACAAAATTTAGTTTTCGGTACACTTTATCCCAAAATTATTATGCGATCATCACCGAAAATTATAGGCGTTGGCCTTGGCCATAACTGGAACCTCATGGAACATTTCAAAGCGATCAGCGCTATATTTCCGCCCTCTAGTGCGGCAATGGGTTACTAAATAATATCTGAATACGTAAGCACCTGTAAATATTTAAGTGCAACTCCCACATCTGAGTACATACGACAATATAATTGGCATCAATTTAAAGGTCAACCACTTCTCTTGGATATACTATCAGCTTATCGGGTCTATGTCCTTCAGGGGCAAATATATACGCTAAAAAATACATATTTTGTCATTTTTCACACAAAAGTCAGGGTCCAGGTAGATATTGACCGATCTTTATGAAAACAGGCATGCTTATTCTTTGGCCCGATCCCCTTCTCCATGTAAAATTTCGCGACGTTCGGGCCATAATTACGGCCTCTGGAGCGACCAGAAAAACGGACAAAAATTAAGTATATCCTCTAAATATAACCCGATCTTTACCATAAACAATAGGGGTCTTCATTGCCAAGAACCCACCCTACATGCAAAATTTCGTGAAGATTAGTCCATAACTGTGGCCTGTATCGTATTTACAAATTATAATGGACGGACGGACACACATGTCTAGATCGAATCAGCTAGTCGACATATGACGATCGGTATACTAAAATGTGGGTCTAGGCTGCAAATGGGATATATCGGGCCATCGTGTTTTGGTTTAGCATAAAATTTAGTATTTTGGGCAATTATTGGAAATAAAATTATTACTAGTAATATTCAACTGTATCGGTTAGGACCCGAAATTACGGCAGGTCAATTACGAAGATGTGATATATCACATCTTCGTAATTGCCACGTTTAGGCATAGCCCCCATATAAGGGTACCGCACAATTTTCCATATTTTTGGAGCGCGCATTTCAACCAATTGTTTTTGGGTACCAGATGTCTCCAAAACAAATTATAAATATCGGTCTACTTTTTCTGGTAGCCCCCATGTAACGGTACCCCCAATTTACAATATTTTGGGGGTATTTTAAAACGCGTTTTTAAACCAAATTCGCTGAAATGTTGGTACAATGGGTTTTAATTGGGTACCAAATTTCTTTACTAAACATCTAAATATAGGTCAATTTTTTCGGGTAGCCCAAGAAACTATTCTGAGATAGGTCACATTCAGATTTTGGGGGCTTTTGAACATATTTTCAATAGAATTAGCTATAGTTGGGAAATTTAAGGAATTCATTGGGTGTCAAATATTCATATTAAAAATTTATAGCATGTCATAGCATCCATACGAAAGTCCCCATCGATTTGAAGTGTTTTGAATGTCCTTTTCATGGTGGAGAATATATAGAATTCAGGCGGGCCAAATTTAATGACCTTTCAACTTTTTTATATTTCGTTTTGTTACACCCTAATATACGCATATCCATTGTTATCATAGACATAGAATATTGGTCTGTTATTATTCTTAATTTTTATTCATTTCATTTTTATTAAGTTTTTATTGTTATCTATTATTGTTTATTGAATAGCTAAGTCAATAAATTGTATTTATTATTACGTCATTCAATTCAATTTGTTTTGTATCATTTCCAGATGGCCAAACATTACCAATTAATCGCCGGCAGCGAGCCTATAACAATGGTACATTAATCATAGAACAACTGCAACGATTAGAGGATGCTGGCACCTACACCTGCATGGCGCAAAACAAACAAAAACAGACATCCAGGCGGAATGTGGAAATTCAAGTTTTAGGTAAAAATTATAAAAAACAAATTACAAAAACATTATCGATAAAAAACACAGAGACATTTTCCGGACACAGAGGTTGTAAAAAACCTTACTCAAACATAAATATTAGATTCATATAAAAAATGTGCCAGAAAATGTATACCGATTGTGTCAATGTATATACTTAATCGGTTTTTTTAAGTAGTACGGCAGGCTACGTTAAATTCAAATCGAATAATCCATTCGCTTAATTTTACATTTGAGCATTTTGAAATTTTTGACGATATTATGTCTATGAAACCAAAAGGAGACTTTTCAAAGAAATATGTATGTGTTATGTTTGGTCGGTAACTCCCTTCTTGCTTACCAACCACAAAGACGTACGAACATTTCAATGTACACATTTTTATGAGAAACATTTCCGCCCTACATATCTTCAACCTTCAACCGGTTTATAAGACATTCAATATAATTGTCTATGTGCTTGTGTATGTAAATGCGGGAGCATTTCGCGTGGCAACAAATTTGCAACTAGTCACCTTGACCCAATCAACTACAACCCGAACAATAATGCAATGTTTATACCCTACACAACTATGTTGTCAGGGTTTGTAACGCCGCGAAATATTGGTCCTAGACCTACCTTTAAGTATACCGATCGTCATATCTCGACTAGCTGAGTCGATCTAGACATGTGTGTCCGTCCGTCCGTCTGTCCATTATAATTTGTAAACACGATACAGGCCACAGTTATGGACCAATCTTCACGAAATTTTGCATGTAGAATGGGTTCTGGCCAATGAAGACCCCTATTGTTTTTGGAAAATATCGGTTAATATTTAGGGGAAGAAATGGACCAAAAACTTTATTTTTGTCTGATATTTTGGTCGCTCCAGAGGCCGCAATTATGGCTCAAACACCGTGAATTTTTGCATGGAGAAGGGGATCGGGCCAAAGAATAAGCATGCCTGTTTTGATAATGATCGGTCAATATTTAGCGGACTTTTGTGTGAACAATTACAAAATTTGTATTCTATGGCGTATATATTTTCCCCTGAAGGACCTAGACCCAAAAGTTCATAGTATGTTCAAGAGGAGTTTTTGACCTTTAAATTGATACCAATTCGTATGTACTCAGATGTGGGAGCTACACTTAAATATTTACAGGTGCTTACGTATTCAGACGTTATTTAGTAACCCAAAACCACACTAGAGGGCGGAAATATAGCGCTGACCGCTTTGAAAATTTCCATGAGATTCCAGTTATGGTCAAGGACAATGCCTATAACTTTCGGTGATGATCAGATAGAAATTTAGATTTTCGTGGAAGTTGTGTAGGGTATTATATGTCGGCCCCGTCCGACTATACGGCTCCGCTCACTGGTTTCTTTATAAAACTGTTGGAAGACACTGTTGTAAGACATGTAAATGGGTCTTACCCCATTTTAGGTATTTTTGAGGCTCTTGCCGCATTTTCCAACTGAATTACCTGATCATTGGAACTGTGCGTCCCTGCATATTTGTATACCCATTACCATAAATTTGTCATTCCGTTTGCAACACCTCGAAATATTCACCGGAGACTTGATCGGAATAAAATTCTATGTCTGTTTGTTCGCAGTTGAAATCACGATTGAGCTTGCAATATTTAAGATAATTACTTTCTTAGCTGGCTTGTGACAAAACATTTGATCCATATATATATATATATATATATATTGTCTTCCACTTGACCTTTCCAGCGAATTGGTGATCTTCCCCTTCTAATTGATCCAGTAGTTGGCTCACATCTTTATATGCCTTTTGAGCTGGTTCATCCTCACCCATTCTCATAATATGATCTTTCGGAGAATTTTTCTCACAACCACTCCAAGATCATGGATCATCTGCTTGCGCAAAATCCATACAACAGCACGGGTAGTATCAGCGTATGGTAGAGAGTGTGAGTTTGGTCTGGCGAGAGGTGGCCTTGTTTCTGAATTAATTACTTAGACCATTTTAGCTCCTGTTGGCCAGCACTATTCTCCTACAAAATTCAAAACGGATGTCGGACCGCAGTTGGTCCGTTGATACCATCAGCTTGGCCTTCTCGCTATTTACTGCCAGACCCACTTTGGCAGACTCCTTCTCAATTTGTTCAAAGGTGGCTGTTACCGCTCTCAATGTTCGAATCATTATGTCGATGTCATCGGCGTAGGCGAGTAACATGTGTTGTTTAGTGTATTGTCATTTCTGCTCACCTTTGCTTCTCGTACGACCTTTTGCAGCCGTATGTTAAAGATATCACACGACAAACTGTCCTGTCCGAATTTAACTGCTGACTTTGTACCAGTTAAAATTATCTTGCATAGCTGTATTAATTTTGCAGGAATGCCGAACGCAGACATTGCTTTAAAACTCCCTGATCTATCCGTTCAGAGGGCTGTCGAAAATACATTTCTCCTCTCTCCTTTTCTCCCGATAATTCTCTATCGCGTGTTCCTACTGCCTGCAGGGTTGCCCTGTACACTGCATTACGACACTCCTGATGGTACCATGGGTTTCTTGATGGAGGTCTTTGGTACCCAAGAGTTGCATTTGCTGCAGTTTGTGGGAAGTTGTTCATTGTGCTTCTATGTACTGAGATTTTTGGTGTTTTTTTTTAACAAAAATTGACTGTAATTTTTATCTTTAAGTTCCACTTTTTACGATAGTTTCATATAAGGGAATACCCCATTATTCGATATTTTGGTAATTTTTGATGTCAAAATCATTGGATGTCAAATTTTCCTATCAACATTTTACCATGGCATAGCGCGCCACTTATGACACAAACAAAAACGAAAACCATCTTGAGATGTCAATGACTTCTCCTTTTTGCAAACCAAACAAAAGCTCATCAGCAGCTTGCTGACAGCTAAGGAAGATGGGACGCGAGTAATGAATGAAATCGGCACCATCATCATCGACGTATTTCTCGCTGTCACACTCATCCCCATTATTTCTCTTATATTGGTATTGTTTAAAAACTATTTTTTTCTGCGAGACTCATGATCCGACTACCAGTTGCGGTAGACTTTGATTGTGGGAAATGAATATTTTTCTCTTTGTTGCTTTGTATCGGATTGAGCTGTCAGAAAAAATATATAGACTAGTATAGGCGGTGGTAAGAATAATATACATTAATAGAAAACAAAAATCAATAGTTGCAATTGTGTTCATATAACACAGCATTTTACGGCAGTGGAATGGTATAAGGGTATTTCGAACAAAAACATTCATTTTCAATAGAGTCGGAAGGGATCAGTCGTGCGATAGCCTACACTACTGCCATTGGATATCAACTTCTGCGGAACTAATATCTCAGTGTGGCCATCATTTGGCGATATTATCGCCTTTAGTGTGGTAATGGTAATACTGAAATATATATATATGCATATAATATTGATCGAAATACAACACATTCAATTTTATAAATCCAATATTAGGCTGCTGGAATGTTCGATTTGTTCCAAACTATTATATTGTCATCATTCGTTGAAACTCAAATAACGGCTTGAATGCATTTTATAATATATATCATGTATGCAGAGCATCCGATTTAAAACAAACTTTGGATAACCTAATACTTTAAAAATACATGTATAATGTGTTGACCAAGAGGTCAACATTTTGAAAATTTGAAAATCTTACATGAAGCGATTAGAGAATTCAAATGTCATCCAAAGTTCGTACAAACTTTGTGAGAGAACTCTTTGGGCAGAGATTGTTCAAATTTTCTTTTGAACAATTTTTTAGTTTTTAACGAGAAATTTTTTATGATTATCTTCAAATCATTTATAATTTTCACCTTCATTATAATCACCAGTTCCACATGTTTTATATGTATAAAAAGTACAAAATGGTACTAAATGTGGTACTAATTGCATTTAGTTGAGTGTATAGAGATGGAATCCTGAAAAGAGGAATTAGGACTACTTTTGGAGTACAGGATTGAGGTAGCTTTAAAAAATCGTACTTATGTGTACGAAAAGTACTAAATGGTACTAAATTTGGTGCAAGTTGGATTTAGGCGAACAGATAGAGCTGGAGTTTTCAAATTGGGAATTAATTGGGAGTCTTCAAATTGGGAATTGACTGTTGGAGTGTCGGATTGAGGTAGCTTACGATATTCGTACTTATTGGTACGAAAAGTACTATATGGTACTAACTTTAGTACAATTTGGATTTTGCTTGAATGGATAAAGCTGAAACCCTGAAATTTGGAATAAACATTACTGTTGAAGATTGAGCTATAGGGACATATTTGGAAGTTCGTATTTATGTGTACGAAAAGTACTAATCGGTACTAGATTTGGTACAATTTGGATTCGGGTATTAAATTTGCCACAATTTACATTTGGTTGAACGGATAGAGATGGAAAACTTAAATTTGGAATGAAAATGACAGGTTTATTGTATTATTGGAATTTCGTACTAATGGATACGAGAAGCACTAAAGTACTAAATACGGTACAATTTGTTTTGTGTGAGCGGAAATCCTAAAATTTGGAATTAAAATTAAGGTTGGAGTGTAGGAGTGAAAAGCGTAATTATGTGTACTAAACGGTACTAAGTTTAGTACAATTTAGATTTGAGTGAAAGGATGGATATGGAAAACATATATTTGAAAATAAAATTACTGTCCTGTACAGTAATGAGACAGTGTTGGAAATTAAAACTCATAAATACGATAAGTACTAAATGGTATTAAATATGCTACAATTTGGAGCTATGTGAACGGATAGGGCTGGGATCCGGAACTTTGTGATTAAAATTACTGTTGCAGTGTGGAATTGAGGATGTTTTAGAAACTCGTACTTATGTCTACGAAAAGTAATAAATGGTACTAAATTTGGTACAATTTGGATGATGGTGAACGGATAGTGCTGGAATCTTTAAATGTGAACTTAAGGGTATTATTGGAGTGCATGACTGAGGTAGTTTTGGAAATTCGTACTTATGCGTACAAAAACATAAAATTTGGTACAATTTGGACATTGGTGAACGGGTAGAACTTGAATCCTGAATATTGCAACTTAGGTTACTGTGTGAGTGTAGGAAAAGTGCAGAATGGTACCAAATCTACAATTTGGTTTTTAATGAACAGACAAAACTGAAATTTTTAAATGTGGACTTACGATTACTGAGGAAAATTTGGACATTTGTAAGTATGATTACGAAAATTACTAAATTTGGTACAATTTGGACTTTGGTGGAATTAAGATTACTGTTAGAGTGTAGGATTAATGTAGTTTTAGAAATTTTTACTTATCAGTATGAAAAGTACTAAATGGTACTAAAGTTGAAACAATTTGGATTTGGTTGAATCCTTAGATTTGGAGTTTAGATTACTGTTGAAGTGTAGTATTAAGCTATGGAGAAACTCGAATTTATGTGTACGAATAGTAAATAGAAAAATAAAACTAAATATAAAATGCATTAAATTTGGATAGGAGAGAGCTGGAAACCTAAAATTTAGAATGTGGGTCACTGACAGAGAGTTAGAAATAAGTATCAAAGGGTTTTTGGTACTATATGGTACTGCATTTAGTGGTGGTGATGGTATGGAGGTAGTGTTGAAAATGTCTACTTATGTGTTCGAAAAGTGATAAATGGAACTTAATGTGGAACCTGTACGTATTTGCTAAAATATATAATAGGAATTCTGATCTATTTTTTATCTGGGTAATGGAAATAAGAAAGTGATTTCGGAAAATAGTGCTTATGTGTATTAAGAGTACTAAATGGTAATAAACTTCATATTAGATGTAGGAATTGAAGTGGAATTCAGAACTATAGTAGAACAAATTATACTGTATTCACGATTTCCAAATGAAATGCTATTATTATTATTATTTTTGTATTGCATACGAAGTATCGCACATTTTGCTAGTATTTTTATATAATACAAATTATATTCACAAAAATATGAAATTTCGACTTTGACCTCATGTCATTTGAAAACCGCGAACCACAATAATATGTAATTTTTACTGGTGTAAAGCTCAAAGTCCACAGATTTGAAATACATAACGTTTTTTTCATCTTTACTTGAAATTGACTTTTAGCCAAAGAATTGGGTTCCTGGCCCATAGTGCGATGTGTCGGTAATTTTGTGTTTATACAAAATACCTCTGGGGCTGACATACACATATGCGGAATGAATATGGCGAAACTTGGATTTAAATGCATTCAGCATTCACATTACATGATATGCATTTAAAATTTTTGATTATTAAACTTAAAAAAATAAATTACATCGGAAATTTCATAAAAAATATATTCCTCGAAATACAATATTGTCTATGCTTGTTCTCTTAGTACATAACTTGAAAAATAAAATTTTCCCCATTTATTTCACAACCCACTGTGTCAGTTGTTTCGGAACACACATCTGTCAGACAATTTTTTACAACGGCTATTTGTTGTATACCACAAATGTTATGAGTTTATGCTCCAACAAACAACACAACGAACTGCGATATACGCTTTTCTTCCTTTCAACCGCTTGCATCATCATACTTACTAATGAGGGGATATTTAAAATATTTTCTCCCCTTTTTGAATATTAATTTCAAATTTAATTTGCTTTTTGTTTTCTTCCTTTTATTTATGTATATATATATATATATATATATTTGAATTGCAGTGCCACCCAAAATCATGCCCATACAAGCAATGACAAATATGCTGAGAGAAGGTATGAGAGCGGCAATATCCTGTCAAATATTGGAAGGCGATTTACCCGTCAGTTTTCGATGGGAACGCAATGGAAAGCCGTTAATTGGAACTGGGTATGTTTTGTTTAAAAGTTATTTAAATATGATAAAATAGATTTTACAAATGCATTTTTGTTTTAATCCTGTATTTTTATAGACTGTGGCCAAAATCTATGAAAAATATATTTTTTGATTCCAAAAAAGTACTTTCTTTAAATCGATTACTACAATATTTAAAAAAAAAATTCACTCTTTTGGCTCGTTGTCCTTGAAAATATTTCTTAGAAAACATCTTCTCTGAGTATTTGAAAAACTGTTTTTTTTATCAAATTTCTGGGTCTGATACGAAAGTTGCACGAGTAAACCGCGCCACGGCACCACAAAGATATTGCCAAAAATGCGCTTTGTCTATACAGTCCTTGATAAAAAATTTTGTTTAGAGATTCACCCTTTAGTCCCGTATAGTCATTGATAACTGTCTCCGAGAGTCCTTGAATAAATATCCGTTTTTTCTGATAGTCATTGAAAAAATATAGTTTGACAGACCTTGAAAAATATTTTATTATAACATTCAGAATATGCTAGTCCATAAATAAATATATGTATGTATTTTAAAAATCGCCCTAAAAATTAAATTTAAAAAATTAGTATTTTTTCTTCAAAGACTGATATTGCCACAATAAAAGTTTTTTTTTCATATCTTTGGCATAGTTATATATGTATTAGTGTGTTTTAATATATTTTTTAAACACACCCTCCCCTTTTTATCCTACAGCAATGAGGTCATTCGTCGCTTGGATGAATACTCTGCCAGTTTGGTTATTGAACACATAACATCTGAACATTCCGGCAATTACACATGCATTGCCCAGAATGTGGCTGGCACCGAACGTTTTACGGTACCGCTCACCGTCAACGTACCACCGAAATGGGTATTGGAGCCGAAAGATTCCAGTGCACAAGCCGGCGATGATGTCCTACTGCATTGTCAGTCATCGGGTTACCCGAAACCAACAATCACCTGGAAGAAAGCCATTGGACCCACGCCTGGCGAATATAAAGATTTCATTTATGAACCCTCCGTTCAATCTTTCCCCAATGGCACCATTCTTTTCAAGAAGATAACCAAAGAATCTCAGGGACATTTTCTGTGTGAGGCTAAAAATTCAATTGGTTCCGGTGTGAGCAAGGTTATATTTCTCAAAGTGAACGGTAAGATGTAGTTGTTTGTAATAGCCGCCTAATCCCATTGCAACATATTTTCTGAATTCTTTGAAATTTGTTCGTACAGTTCCAGCTCATTTTCAAACGAAATCGAAGCAAATCTCTGTTGCCAAAGGGAAACAAGTGCACATACAGTGCAATGTGCAGGGTGATAATCCCATCGACATTCATTGGAAATTACAAGCCACACAACAGACCATAGACGAATCAATGGATACCAGGTAAGTTGTAATTGTAGTACACAAAGGCATTGATTGGCCCATTTGACCCGCTAAACATTGCCCGATATTACACTGTAATAAAATCCAAAAAATTGGTGTGAAAGGGTGGCACGATATTACACTTTAAAACAAATAATGGGAAAGGGTGGCCCAAAATAAAATACATGCGTAAGTGTACATTAAATTTGTCATTCCGTTGCAAACACCTCAAAATATTAACCTGACAATATCTGTCCGTCTATTCGCTTTAGTCTCCATATATATATTTCTGATCAGAAGAAAATTCCAAGTTGATCATGAGGATTTGTGGCTCATTTTTCAACCAAATTGACCAAATTGGTATATTATCAAACGTCTCCAAAATACCGAATTTTCTCTCTTCTTTAAATAGGTTTCGCCTTGGGACAAATATTTTAGACGAGCCAAATTCTATATCAAAAGACATTTTTAAAACCGATGCATACTCTTGTAATACCCTTTCCTACAGTGTATTGAAAATGTTATTGCTACCGTTGATGTATATGAGAACCTTTAATTTTTTAAGAATTCAATTAGATAGCTGTTTCGGTTGAAAATATAGTGCGAAGAATGTTTTGCTTTCAATTTCCCATTTCAACCGAAACATAAAACATGTTTCGGAAATCTAATGAATGAAGTGAATTCTTGTAATCAAACCAATTTATCATTAATCAATAAATTCGATTGTAGCATAGATTTTTGTTGTACTGTTAAATGCGAACTACTGTCTTATACCATAACCTTCGAAGACTTTTCGATAAAAGGATTTTTTATAAAATCTCAAAATTTTAGACATGTAAAATAAAAAAGTTTTTGAGATTGGTCTTCATGATTGACAATAAATTTTCCTTCAGATTGAGATCGGAACATTGTCTGGCCGCTACTTTAATTGAAAAATTTGCTCACAAGTTGGTCACTACCCTATTATCGAAGTGCAGGAAGGTTAGTTTGAAAATCTTTTTAAGGTTTTATATGACCACATATATGTTATAACGATGCACTTTGTTCACAATTACCTTTGACGTCGTAATGGAATAATTGAATTTAATGTGCTTTATGGAAAATTTGGGACCATCGACAATAAATCTTTTTTACAGTCAGATGTTCATAAATATGTCCAGGGTTTGCTGGTGGAAGAAATGCCAGTGATGCCTCCACCTCACGGGGATCGAAATTGAAAAATTGTTGCTATTGATATTTGACACCCAATGAGAACCCAGGATACCTAATTACAACCAATTTGGTTGAACATTATGTCCAAAATCGTAAAAACACCAAATATTGGGGATATGGATCGATATATCCAATTTGAAATACCAAACATCCCAGGAGTACAAGCAACGTCTGTGCAAAATTTTAGAGCTTTGTCTTAAATATTGCGATCTCTTTCGTAATTCAAACAGAAGGACAGTCAGATCAAAAATATATATTTTTGGGGTCTTCGATGAATATCTCCAGTCATGACAAATTAAAATGCTCCCATACAATCCACAAGGACTCGAGATAGAAGAAGGAAGGGTTTCCTCATTGCTCCATAACTCAAAAACTTTCGGCGAATTGGTCCTTCTGGGTTCTTAATATACATGCCAAGAGCTTTGATGTCCTTCATAACCTGAGCTCGATTTTGTATCACAGTATTACTTACAAAAAAAAGAAAAACATTTATTCCCTTTTTTGGGAATAAATCTTCTGCGCAAATCCACCAATTTGGAAGACCACGTTCCAAGATGTTGGTTCCTACTTGGTCTTTCCATCTAATTCGTGGCCTTCCCCTTCTACGGGAACCATCAGTAGGCTCGTTTTTATATGCCTTTTAGCTCAAAAGGGGGCATTCTCATTCATCCGCACAGCATGGCCTAGTCACCGTAGTCGATGCAGCTCAATACGACTGACGTCGATGTCCGCGTATAAATTGTAAAGCTCGTGGTTCATTCGACGCCGATATTCACCGTCGATGCAGATTGGCCCCTAGATCTTTCGGAGAATTTTTCTTTCAAAAACACCCCAAGATCTGCCTCATCTGCTTGCGCAAGTACCCATGCTTCTGATCGATATAATAGCACGGGTAGTATCAGCGTCATGTAAAGTGTGAGTTTGGCGTGGCGGGAGGTAGCATTGTTTCTAAACTGCTTACTTAGACCATAGCAGCATCTGTTGGCCATCACAATCCTTCTCCGAATTTCAAAACTGATGTCATTCGTTTTATTTATGGCGGTACCAAGTTATATAAAGTCTTTAACTACCTCGAAGCTGTTGTTCTCAAGTACCACAGTTGGTCCGAGTCTACTGGACGTCTTGCGCGATGATACCATCAGCATGATCTTCTCGCCGTTTACTGCCAGACTCACTTTTGCAGACTCCTCGCAATGTTCGACCCATTATATCGATGTCATCGGCGTAGGCGAGTAACATGTGTTGTTTGGTGTACAGAGTGCCATTTGTATTCACCTTTGCGTCTCGTATGATCTTTTCCTGTAGGATGTTAAAAAGATCACACCACAAACTGTCACCTTGTCTGAATCCTCGTTCGGTATTGAAGGGCTCCGATAGGTCCTTTCCTACTTTTACTGCTGACCTTGTGCCACTTAAAGTAATCCTGCATAGCCGTATTAATTTCGCAGGAACGCCGAACGTGGACATGGCTTTAAACACCTCTGAACGGACAAATAGGTGGAATGTGTCAATGTGTTTTTCGTGGGTCTTTTCCAGGATTTGGCGCAGAGTGAAAATCTGGTCAATGGTGGATTTGCCAGGTCTGAAGCCGCATTGGTATGGTCCGATGATGTCATTGACCATTGGTTTCAATCGTTCACACAGCACACTGGATAGCACTTTATATGCGATGGGAAGGAGACTTATTCTTCTATAGTTGGCACATATCGTCTTGTCTCTTTTTTGTGCAAGGGACACAGGATGCTGAGGTTCCAATCATTGGGCATGCATTCATCTAAAATTGTACTAATCAGCTGGTGCATGCTCCTGACCAGCATCTGGCCACCAGTCTTGAATAGTTCGGCTGGTAACCCATCGGCTCCTGCTTTATTGTTCTTTAGCCGATTAATTGCTTTTATGACCTCATCTTGGCTAGGTGGTATACACTCTATACCATCATCGCTTATTGGTTCTGGGGTATCTTCTTCAACGCCACTATTTAATACCAGAAGCTTTTCAAAATGCTCCTTCCAGATCCTGTCTGTATCTGTCACCAGGTTTCCTTCTTCATCTCTACAGGAGGATGTACCTGCACCAAAACCTTCGATTTGGTGTTTTACTCGTTGGTAAAATGTCCGGACTTCATTTTGACTCCTGTACATCTCGATTTGCTCACGCCCACGTTTTCCTTGTCAATCTTTCTTTTTTTCTGAAAACACGTTTCTCCTCTCTCCTTTTCTCCCTATAGTTCTCCATCGCATTACCTGGTAAGTTGAGCGGAGTAGGCCTCGGCTACCTTTTGTGTTTGCAGCTCTTCGACGTCGAGTTTCAGTGTTGTGTTAGATCGCACCTTTGCTGCTACATTAAGACGGGTGCGAACCTTGGCTGCCACAAGGTAATGGTCCGAATCGATATTCGCTCCTCGGATCGATCGGACGTCTAAAACACTGGATGAATGCCTTCCGTCTATCACAACATGATCAATTTGATTTCTCGTTGCTTGATCAGGAGAGATCCAGGTGGCCTTGTGTATATCGAGATGCTTGAATCTGTGGCTGCTAACTACCATGTTTTTTGCTGCCGCGAAGTCAATCAGTCTCATGCCGTTGTCGGATGTTTCTTCATATAGGCTGAATTTCCCGACGGTGGGGCCAAATATATTTTCCCTTCCGATTTTTGCATTAAAATCTCCTAGCAGAATTTTAATGTCATGGCCAGGGCAACGATCATATGCTGTTTCTAGGCACTCGTAAAATATGTCTTTGGTCTATTCATCTTTATCTTCGGTCGGGGCATGGGCGCAAATGAGATTGATGTAAAAGATTATAGCAATTCGCTCATCTACTGGAGTGAATCTGGAGACAAGGTCTTTTATTCTCCTGTTAACCATAAATCCGCAGCCAAATTCATGTCTCGTTTCATGGCAGCTATAATACAGGGCGTAATTGTCTGATATACATACGCCTGTCCCTTTCCATCGCATTTCCTGTAAGGCAACAATATCGGCTTTGTACGTCTTGAGCACATCCACCAAAGCGAACACTGCGCCTGTTCTGTACAACGTGCGCACATTCCAAGTGCAGATTCGCAGATCGTGGTCCATTATACGTTTGCGGGGGTCGTTAACATTAGGGGGGTTTGGTTTTCCTTTTTCTTAGCTTTTTCATAGTAGGTTGGGTTTTCCAAGGGTGGGCAACTAACCCGACGTTCTTATGGGTGAACTCGCGGCACATATTAGCTCACTACTTCATTGGGTGATGGGAATAGCTCCCAAGGTGGCACCGCGGGGAGGTCAGTGTCCACAATTGAGATGAAAGAGGGACCAAGATAAGCCTGGACTTCGCCATGTTAAAGCCAATCAGAGCCGTTGCTCGGTATCTCTCATCCCCTACGAATCTATCATTTTGGGAATCTGAACCTTGAAAATCTACCCTAAACTTTGCTACTATGCATTATTATCAAGTTATCGGGTTTGACCACAATTTTATTTGGACCAAATGCTTTTTAGACTATTGGAAGTCGACATGTCCGCTCGTTTGTCTGGCTTGTTGGGGCGTACAATAAATCTTGAAAAGAGTAACAGAGAGATACAAAATTTCTTTTTAAATTAAATTGAGTTCGAAGATGGGAAATGTCAGACCATTCCGTTCTTTACCTCGCCAACAAAATGGTAGAAATTGTTGCTCATAATTAATTTTATAATATAATGCGAAAGGAGTGTCCGATTTGAACCATACTCAGCACAATCTAATGTTTTAACCACAAATTTATAATGTTTGAAGATGCGGCTTATGGGTCCCCGCTTCGAGTACCTTTTAAGATACCATGCC